TTTTAACCAATCTGTATTCACTTTCTGTATCTTCCTTCACATCATGCTGTTAGTGCAGCTCATTCTTCTGGTCTCCTGATATGGAAGATTGAAAAGCTGTGAATCCTTAAACATATCCCAGCAATTTCTATTCTAGATCTGATAACTGCTATTTATAGGATAAAACTTCGCTCCTTGCTAAACTGGATACAGAAAATGTTACGCCTACAAGGGCATCATGCGTTTTGTAGTTCTAGAACCATAAAAACCCGAGGTTGGAAGGGACCTCTGAAGGTCACCTAATGTTCTTTAAACTGGGCAAAGTTAGATCAAGTTTCTCAGGGCCTTGCTCACCTCAGGTTTGAAAATCTCCAAAGGCAGAGATCCCAGAACTTCTTTGGGAAAACTGTTCTAGGGCTTCATCACTCTCATTGTGATTTTTTCGCCCCTTATATCCAGTACGAGTTTCCTTTGCTGCAGCTGGTGTCTGTTTACATTCTTGTCCTTTTGCTGTATACAGCAAGATGAATCTGTCTCTGTCTTTATGATCCGAATTTAGAGGATCAGTTAACCAATTCACTGTACTATGACAACCATGACTTGAAGAAATCATGTTTATCCACAGATTATGTGCAAATTCTCCCAAATTGCATAGTAGTATTTGACCTTCGGATGAACATTTGCAAAGCTTCCAAGTACTCTGGATGCCTAGATTTTTTTTATTTCTAACTTCATTCCTTTTAAGAGCTTGAATTTCAGAAAGTTTCCTCTCTCTTTGGAAATGACGTTTTTTACAGAAGAGGCTTCTGCTTGAAATGGTGTGATACTGACGATGGTGGAACCATTGTCATTGATCAGAGTAAGCTCCTGCTCAGCAAAGGCACACTAATAAATTGCTCAGTATTTTGTGGATGAATTAGACAGCAGCTACCGAAGAAGTAAGTTTCGCAGAACCCTTGAGCTAGGACATTTTATTTTGGGAAAGGCATTGAAAATGTGTGAAGCTTGGCCAACAAAACTAGAAGTACCTGTAATCAGCAGTCATGCTTGAGAATCTTGGCCTCCAGCTTTGTTTATTGCACAGTCTTGTGTCAAATAACATATAAACAAATAATAAATGAAGCAATTTTCAAGAATTTATAGCACCTTCAACAAATAAAGAGGTTTATCTTTCAGGTCAAAACCCAACCTTAAATATCTTTCCACAGGAAAAAAAAAAAAAAAAAATTCTTTATCAATTGAGTCTCTCAGTTCCTCAAGGATTTTTCTAAAACTTTAGGCATCTAGCTGCTAACTCCAAACTTCTCCAGGATGCGACTATAACCTACTGCTAAGTTATAGGCAAGATACTTTTAGGGCAACCTCCTCTTGATTTTGACCTGAGCTTTGACAGAACTTAGTTTTACTGTAACAAGGAGCACCGACATCTGACTAGCTATTGGCCCATCCAACCTCAGCCCTGTTAAATCCCAGCTGCTGTGAATGGATAAAACAGTGATTTATTAATGGAGATAGGGTGGAACTTACGTGAGCGCAGGTTCCTTCCTGCTGAAAGGAACTATTTCCTGGGCTGCTTAAAACCACACAGGTAGGTTGCTGGTCTGTTACTGTAGGGATCATTCAGTTCTGGGCGTGAGCTGGCCTGAGACATTAATGAGTTTACTTTTTCCCTGCTTTAACTGTGCCAAAGCTTATAGCAGGACAGCAGGCTATGGCACAGCTGGGATGCTTACTAATGGAGACATGCGGGACATTTTAATGCAGATGGAAGGAGACCGTGATTGCCCTATATACAGCTAACCAAAATCCTAATCAACTAGCCAGCAACAACAACCTGCTGGAACCCAAGAAGCCTGTCAGCCTCACACTTGCAGTCCCCAGGCCATCTAGGGATAATGAAATGGGCTGGTCCAAGAAAGCTAATCTCTTCTGCTTTCTCAAACAAGCCTGCTCCCCAATGAAAGAAGCATTCACATAGCTATGGTTCAGAAAAGAAGGGAAGAGAAGGGATGGGTAGGTAAGCCAAGGCAAGGCCAGGCAAGTCAGGGCAATAAGGGAGATTATTCAGAATCAATCATACATCTCTGACTTTTGAAGTTTCTGTAAGCAAAAATATCTTACTTCTAGATTCGTTCTTAAATAACCATCTTTACCTGAAAAAAAAATCACCCCTTTTTTCCCCTTACAATACCACTTAATGATACGCTAAGCCAGAGCTATTTCTCTCTCCAAATGCCTGTTTAAATGTTTAAATACTCGCTGTTTGTTAAAAAATGTGTTAGGATACCAAAGTTTATCAAGTGAAGGAGATCTGAGACAAAACCAACGGGATTACCCCTGCATTTTTGTAGTTAGGGGAATAATATGTTTTGTTCCATCAATGTGTCCACTTTACATTATTCAGCACAAAGCTTTGTGAAATAAGAATCATGGGAATATCACAATATAAAGGAAAAAGGTACAAATAACAGCTTCATAAACTGAGAAATGTACATAAATAAATCATGTAGATGGGGGCAGTTTGCTTAGCTGGCAAGAAAAAAATATGGAAAATATGCTTGTTAAACAATAACCACAGAGTGTGCTTTTATGATGTTTTTCACCACAGTAATTCATATTAGAGATAGAAGCAGTTGCATGTTAAATAAAATCATTCAGCATTGTTCTCCTCACATTACAAAGAGCTGACTTATGTTGTTTTTAGATGCCTCCCATTAGAAAGTAAATATTCCTCTGATGTTATACATTTCAGAAAATTTAATAATGATGAACTGTAAATAAAGTCACAGGGAGATTTCAGACAGTTTTATTAGCAGATTGTTGAAAAGAAAAGAAAATTAAATACAATAACAGTAAACGTGGTTCTCACATTGAAACCAGGCTCAAATAACTAGGCTACCATAGAAAAATTTCCAATTCTTGCATTATGATGTAAAAACAGATTTTTGTACAGATTTTGTACAACAAAATTCGTAATAACCTTTTTTCATTTTTAGAAAACTTTAAATATATAGATAAAAATAGACAATTTTCATAGGTCCTACATGAAGATGAGTATGTTCTGTTCCAAGGGCTTGCATAGAGCGCAAATGTGGTTATAATATAGAACAACTAGACATTAATATCTTTAAGATTACAAAAGCATATAAACAATAACATGAGCACAACTTTTCTTCATAATCTATGCAAAAAAAAAAAAAAATCCAAATCAAAAACCAAAAACAAAATACCAACCCAAAACCTGTATAACTAAAGAGGGGCAAAAAATTCAACTTACAGTAACATCTCATGGTCTGTAATATTTACACTGTTTTTAGCAAGATTCTTTCTAAACATCCAGCTTATAAATTGTTTCCCCCTTAATCCTTAACATTTCCATTTATGTACCAAGCCAAACACTGAGGCATTCCCAAAGGTCTTGAAAGTATATACTGTAAAACTACTAAACCTACTTACAGGTGACTCTATGCAAGGAGCAGAGCAATGGTAGATGCTACTACATATTTCAGTTGTAGGCTTTTAATTCTCTTTCAGATATGAATGATTCAAAAGCTTGCCACAAGTCCATCTAACTTTACAGCTGTTAACCCTTTAAAGACTGCATAAGAAAAAACTGGAGTACAGAATCCCATATGTGTTCAAGCAACTATGAAAATTATGAAAGAATCATGGTTAGAAAGTAATGTCACTACAAAGTACTGGGTAACAATATTTAATGAAAAATATTGCTCAATATTTCTTTAAAAAAAATTACCGTGATGTGAACTTGTATATACATCTTTCTATTGTTAAAAAAGGATTGTGGTGGAGTAAATATGAACTGCACAAAATAAATGTGTACCAGTATTGCAAGGAAGACCTACAAACTATAGAAGCTCAGTGCTAGAGGTTACAAAACATTAGATTTTTTTTTTGACAAAATAATAATTAATATCCAATCAGAACTATTTTTAAAGAAATATTTAAGTTAGGCATCTTAGACATTTAAGGTTTTGATATGTTTCCATGTAATAAATAATATTTTATATGCATAAAACATTAGATGAAGAAAGCATAATCACAAAACTTACAGTAATAGCACTGATTCACAAAATCAGTCTTTAAAGGGGTAACCCAAAAGTACGCAAAGCAAAGAACATAACTTTTAGTAATGTAATAAGCACTGTGTTGCAGCTTACTTCCAGTTATCAGCACAAAGGTGAAAACACATATTGTAGCTTTCATAAAGACAGTGAAAGTAACACATAACCACCCATCCCTAAGACAAGGTGGGAGGGACAATAGACTTCAACTGTATCACTCAGTTCTACGTGGAATTGGACTGATACATCAAGTGTTTGTTAGGTTTTCTTTTTTTAGCAACATTGACGTAATATGACATTAACATATAAAAATATTTCTGGCATTTTGACTTGCTGCTCAGCCACAGTCCATTCTTAAAAGTGCACTAATCAGGGCACTAACCAGGGCTCAATATACAAATAAAAGTGGCTGATACAGAATTCTGACTTGTTACCAGATGCTTAAGATCTCATTCAGTAATACTGTGACTCCAGGACAAATATTTACATGCCTGCATGCGTTAAAACTAGAAAGGTGTCGTTCTGACCAACAGGGTGACAAAACAATATTATCTAAAATTTTCATTTCCTAAACTCTAGATTTCTACTGCATACATAATACCTTCCTTGTGTGATTTGTGTTATATACTGTACATGTGACCAACAGTTTGATAAGAAGCAAAGTTTTTTATTTCATAAACCCCTGACAGTTTACAATGAGAAATTATTACTCTTTTTATCGTATTTTTTTATTTTAGGAAAAGAGACTTTGTGAACAGTAAAACAGTTTGTTTACATTCAGCATTTCTTTTCACTTACACAAAATTCCATTTCACTTAATGTAGTCTAACATACATGTGTTGGTCTCTCGGAAAGCATGTGGAAAAAATGTCTTTAAGAAGAAAACCCACAATCATAGTTTGAAAACTGAATGTATCAATTTTTTTTTCTTTTACTTTTTTTTTTTCCTTTTTTTTTTTTAATAAGAATCCTCTTATGCCCTCTAGAAGTTCATTTCTGAGCTGTCTTGCTGGTTTCGGTATGATATAACAGTCTGTAAGTGTACTTGGACACCGCTGGAAGGATCATTTGATGTGCTCAAATATAGAATCATCAGAGGAGGACAGAGTCTGCATTCCTTGAAAAAGGGAATACTCAGCCTTGTTCTGACCCGCCTGTAATTTTGGATACAATAGTCTGGCGCAGAGATGCAGATTTTCACTGTAAGAAGAGTGCTACTGTACATTTACAAACATTCTCTAGGTCTCCGGGTCGAGCCACAGGAGACAACCAAAGGAGGACACTCTTGCAGAATTCTTTACATTTTTGAAGAACATTGATAAATGAAGTTGAGGAAGTCGCCTTGAAAACGCTTTGTTTCCACAGAACTCCTTATGAGCCAATGTCTTACTGCAAAGTTCTTTACCGTAGCACAGGTATCTTCAGCAGGAAAAATTCAATACATGACAGTAGTTTTCAAATAAAGTCTTCCATCTAAAATATGAAAAACAAACATTTACTTTATATATTTGTATCTGCAATGAATCGAAAAGAGGAAGAAACCCACAAGATTTAAAACCTCAGCGGAAGTAGTCCTCCCATAAATCTGTAAAATGCCACCTATGGTATTTTACGTTTAAAATAAAAGAATAATAAAACCTGAACATCAACATTGCAATTTCATCTGACAGTGGTCAAATTAACTCTGTTAAAAATTACACGCACTTTGCAAGTTGTGAATACTGTAACACCTTCTAAAGCTTTAATACGTGCTGCACTCATATCAGTGCTAGAGCACTAGGAATGTAGGTGGAGCTTCTGTGCATGTGTTTTTACTGATATGCAAACTTAACTGAATAGTGCTGAACAGCAATTATTTCCTTCATGGTTGCAGAGCAAAAATCTTCTTGCATGCAATCGTTAGTACTCCCATCACTAAAGGCATAGCTCATACTTTCTGATTTCGCTATGTTGTTAAATATACCATGTAATGTAACCATTGTGCACATTTGTAGCTATTTATATAGAACCCAGTATAGGATATTTAATCGGTATCAATGAAGTATAGCCTCCTTCCCCCATAAATGAGATTAACTGAACAATTACTATGTTAAAGATGTAAGCACGTCTCTCTCAACAATTTTTCCACCCAAGTGAGGAGCATATATTTAAGTGAGATATGTGTGATGGAGAGGGAACATAAGAAACAATAAGCTCACCTAGCTAGTAACTGTTGATCTAGAAAAACTTGAAGAGAACATTCTGCCGTAACATATTTTCAACTAATTTACAAATATAATGCAATTTTTTCTTCACTGGAGACATGAACATCTTCTATGCACCTATTCTCATAGCAATACAAAGTTTTTTTGGTTTTTTTTTTTGGTTTTTTTTTTTTAAATAGGAAACAGACAGCAAAACTTCTTAGTTTTCTGACCTGTAGGATAGAAAGTGTTGCTCCCTTGTGAGTAGAGCATATCAATCCCCCCCAGTGCACAATTACAAAACACTACTTATATTTTAGAACATAATGCATCTGGAAGTACAAGCTGTATCTCAGCTCTTGAAGGCCACATGAAACCCTTCTTTGGGTCCAAGTGAAATCAGCAAACATTTATAAGATTTCAGAGGGTTTTGTTTCTGGTTTGGTTTTCTTAGTCTAACCTTTATACTCCAAATCAGTCTTTAAAATTCTTATTAGATATACAGGAAAGAAACTGTGTGAGATAAACCTATATAAATGAATGCTGAAATTTTTGAAATGCTTGGCTATGATTGAAACACGTGGCATCACTTCCACAAGCTTATTGTAACCGTTGAGAGAAAGAAGCGTTTAACTTGAAAGCAGACAAATGTACATCACATACAGCTGTAAAATTTATCCCTTCTGCAAACCCCTTTCCAAATTCTATTGTCTAGTTTCTATCAGAACTGCTGGGGAAAAAAGGAGAAAGTAGAATTGCTCGCTCTGTCGCAGTGATTCTTATCTAGTGTCCCTCTGGTTTTCCTTTTCCACCACTAGTTTTCTTTTGCAAGCTTCTGGGGTGTACGCCCTCTGGCCACTTTCTCCCACCTTTACACTTTCCTGCCCCTTTTCCCTGTTTTTTTACATTCCTAGCTTTTTTTGGCAGAGTAGATGATAACTTTCCCACCAGTTAAGAGTGCTTCCACATTCTCATTGCTCTTTACAGTCTTTGTGCACTGAAGAGAGATAAAAAGAAATTGAGTAAGGCCTTAAGTTGAAGACTTTTTAGTCTTATTTGATGCATGAAGAGCAACCAAAATGCTTATGGGAATTCGGGAGAGAAAGACGGAACCTCTGAAATGGAGCTTGGTAAAACTGAAGGCCTAGTAAACCATCTCAAAAGAAAACCTGTGTCAACTATAGGGTAGCCAGAGCTGCTGCTGGCTACAGTTGCATATAATTCTCCTAAACATATTGAATAAACACAATAGACATTTACAGCACTAAAGCTGTCCAGATACCTCTGTAGGAGAATTACTCTGCATAATACCAGCACTTTGGCTATCCTGAATGCACACTTGCTAATGAGTGCTATGCGTAATTCCCACACCTAAACATTAAGATAACCTACAGTCAGTAACTTGTATTTTATTTTACTATGTTAGGTCTCCATATACCTTTTAAAATAAAATATTTATTAAAACATATTCTCAATTAAAAATACAGCCGTAGAAAGCGGAATCCTTGTAGCAGCCAACAAAAGATGAACAATCTGCAGAGAACAGCAGTACATTTTCAAAAGTCAGCTTTATTTTACACTGCTTAAGGACCCAATCTGGCAGTGAAGTCAATAGGAGGTTTTCACTTTTAATGGAAGACACTATCAGATCCTGTATTCTGTATCCACAGACAATGAATAATAATAGAAATGGGCAGCTTTACAAAGCATCTTCCTTACAAAGTAAGAGGATATTTGTTTATATAGCTTAAAAACATTTATGATGAATATATACAATAAGCATAAATCTTCCTGTTCCTCAAATAACTATATGATGGACCATTAAAAGTGCAATTAAATAATCTGTATTGATAATGGACTTAAAATGCCATATTAGAACTCAGCAGCTGATCTAATATAATTGCTAGGCTTATTATAAAACAGATATATTCTCTACTAACGTGGTTGACTAATTCCCCTAACATATGGGAAAACACAGAAAGCATTAGATACATCAACTTTAAAATAAATCCTGCCATGTTATGATATAGATAAAGCAATTCCATGATTAAGTAGTACTTAGTAAGAATTCAAAAGTTGCTAAGAATTCTAAAATATTTCCTTTATTTTCTCAAGAATAGTCATGAAAGAATGAGGTGCAAAATGAATATCCTTTTCTTTAGAACCTACAGTGCCAACATGGAAAAAAAATCACAGTATCTGTGGAATGGCCCACCACCCTCTCAAATCATGAGTTTGGGAGAAGATGGAGAAATCATTTCTGTAGGCTTTATACTTTTCTTCCCACATGCTCCTGTGTGTAGCTGAGAAGTTCACGTAGCCACTCATGAAGAATGTACACCAGGCAAATAGCACTGCACTTCAGAAATACGAAGACTTCAAACCATGCTAGGAAAAACAGAGGTAACTCACAGCTCTGCAGAGGAACGATAACCTCGCATCATGCTGTGGTGACCAAACACAATACCTATATCTGATTGCTGTCCCGTTTCCTTTTCAGACTCCTATTCCCTTCTTCCTGACCATTTTTCTCTCGATTCTCATTGTTCAGAGGTTCTTCCGAAATGACTGGAACTTCTCAATGTTGTTGTCAAAGCCACCGGAATCACTTTGCCTCTAGGTGTAGCCAGTGTTCCTATCTGAATACCATCAATTACCATTGATAGGCCTTCATGATTTCAAGGTTAAAATCATAAGCAAAACCTACCAATCATGAGGGTGACCAGTGATCAAAAAAATCAAGCAAGCTCATTCTTTGCAACTTAATGTGAAAATGCCACTACTCCTAAATCACAAATCATGAGCTTGCCTCTGCTTCCTGCCTCCCGATCAGCTTTTATTTAACAATTATATATGCATGTTGCATTACTTTCTATTGTTAACAAATGCAGAATTTGTCTATCTGCATAAAACCAATTTTATGCAAAACAAATATGGAATATACTATTCACACAAACGTAGATATATGCACACAAACATATACTACACAAACACACATACATAGTGTTCTCTAAAAACGTTTACAGCACTGGAGTATATTTTTAGACTACTGAAAACTTATGATCTGTGGTAAAGTTTCCCAAATTTACACACTGTTATATACAATATAAATACATAAAACTTTCACTCTTAGGAAATCGAGCAAAAACACAAACTGGGAAAATACTGCTAAATTTCTAAACAGAACTGTGCATGATTAGCAGATTGCTCTTTTGCAAATGGCAGTGTTCAGCAAGATCACACAAGCTCATGTTAGTAACTGAAACTGAAAATGCCACTACTGCTAAATCTCATTTGTTTTTGTCTGTGGACTGATATGACAGAAATTCTAGCTAGAGTGAGGGAGTGTTTTTTTAGATCAACCCTTTTTAATTAAGACTCATTTTGAGGTTTTTGAATGAACATGCCCAAATAGTTAAAAGGTCATAAATGTTATAAAAAACAAACAAATGGAACTGACGTAAAAGTTTGCAATGCTGAAAAAAATCATATGTCTTGAAATGCATTCCCACAGAGATGTCAGCTGGACAATGATTCACACTAGTGTTCTGTGGGCAGTTTGTGGTAAGTATCTCTATAGGCCCAACATTTTCTGAGATAAAAACGTAAACCCACGCAAACATGATTCCTATTAATATGCATCCTTGTAAAGTGACAAAAATCTACAAAGAAATGTTAAGTTTGGTCTTAGGTCTCAAACTAAATAAATCATCCATCAGATCGTAATGTACGTATTTCTGCCACTCAATGCAAGTCACACTGGGGTTGTTCGCCATCCAAACATAAGATATTTTAGTTTGTATTCTGAGAGCTGCTGTAAAAACAAACATAACAGTGATCATCATGACTTTTGTAGGAGCATACTGAAGTCTTTGGTTTATGAAAATCTGCAAATCAACATCAAAGGTGTGGTGTCACACCTGAATTCAGTCAATTGCTATCATAGAAAAGTCTGAGGAGGAAAACTCTCCTTAGTAATAGGATAAAGTGTTTCTTATAGTTAGGAGCTTTAGGGAAAAAAATGACCAACCAACTAAGAAGATATGGTAGCATGTCACAGAGAGCTAAGAAACCCACAGAGTCCAGAGTAAAAAGAAAAAAAGGACAAAATAATGTATGAGAAAGAAAATGAATAAGATCAGAAATCTCAGTGGGAGTTTTGGAAAGTTCAGGTGTCAAGGTTTGGACAATTTTTTATTAATTTATTATTATTGTTATTTTTTATGATCGTAAGTTGTGAGCTGTAGAAGAGTAAATGCCAGCCCATGATCCAGGAACCCTTACATCAAA